TAGAGCCTCCTCAGTGCCCCGTTTACATCAGAGCTCCCAGTTCCTCCTTCACATAAGAATCAGGATAGCCAACACAGAGCTAATAAATACGAATTTTTATTTTTGGAGCCTGATTTGAATTTGAATAAATTAATTTGCAGAGTGAATGTTAAGTATTGTTATGGGCTCATAGTTTAGTTCCTTGCATGGTATGCTGCTTTTTATAAGGTAACAAAATTACTTTGGTATTCGATCTTCCACCCACGCTTGTGTCAAATCCAAGTCTGAGACTGGTGTGCAGTTCAGAATATTAATGTAGCTGTAGAAGAAGATGCAACAGTACTCTGAAACTGAGCAGTAAATGACGCATTGAAGTGTTCATCATTTGCCATAATTTCAGCAGGCAGAGTTTTCTTTCATCCCGTACAATTGTGTAGCTTGCAGAAATATTGAAATGTTTATTTTTATTTTGACAGAAGAAGACAATGAAACAGATGGAATAACACAAGGATCAGTAAAAGAAACTCCCACATCTAATGATTCAAGTACGTATTGCATAATTCTCAGGCCAGAATTCATACAGGAAAGAGTTAGGAGCTACAGTATGTCTTTCAACAGTTAAATGAAAAATTTAACACTTTCAATGCAGGATCCCTTATTCAGGGCATATGTTGAGAGCCGTTTAGGAGACCATATAAGCTCCAACTGCTAAATGCTATGCTCACCTCAGCCTGAGTGGCAGCATCCACCTTAGGGTTGCCACCTGTCCAGGATTCACCCAGACAGTCCGGGTTTTGAATGCTGTGTCCGGGTTTCATGGCAGCAGAGACCCGGACACAAGAGGTCAGGCAGACAGGGGCAACCAAAATTAAGATAGAGGCTATTGGCCCCCCACTGAAAATAGTCTCGACTGTGATATTTACATAGGAATGGGTGGCGTTATTTACATATGAATAAGCCGCGACTCGTTCTCCCAAAACAATTCCCGTGCGTCACTAGAGTGTTCGGGTTTCGATGGAAGAAAAGGTGGCAACCCTAATCCACCTGCTGCTGAGGGCTAATCCACCTGCTGCTGATTGCTGCTGAGGGCTCATTGAACCTTTCTAGCAACTGTCCCTCTGTGTGCATGTGCGCTTGACTATTTTACTGAGCCAAGAGAATCCCAACAGAAATACTTGGCACAACCCCTGGAGCACAGCCAGATGCCAAAAAGCTTGGATGGCCTCTCTTGAAAGGCTGTCTCTACATGGGCCTTTATGATGTAAGTGTACATTCAGAGTGCAACATGTTAGTTTGGGTCCCCCTGCGCCTCTCAGTATAACAAAATGGGTTTCTTTTGTTAAATACATCTGTTACAATCTCTGTAAATTCAAATTTAGCATATTTTTACAAAATGCATAAGCAGAGGCTATCTTCCGGGGGATCCCTGTGTTAAAATGATCAGTCAGTCGTACTATTTATACTATTAAAGGAGGGGGCCTTGTTCAACTTTTACAGTAAAAGTTATGCTCATAAAACAATCATTCCCTGCAACCCAAGTACACTCTCTTGATCTGTGCCCTTTCTGCTATTTTTTTGTTCTCATACAGTTGCATACTAATCCATACTAATAATCAAAAGTTTTTTGTGGTAGGGATGTTGCTAGGATTGTAAAAGACCTGGGACACACTCAGGAAAAAATTGTGCAAGTTGCAACTGTTATGCCACTGGGCAAAGCCGGATTGCGCCCAACAGTGTGACTGTCTTAAAGGGGGATGGTTAAATAGAACCTAACCCTTTTTACTGTATACACCACACACATATGCCACAGTACTTGAGCTACAAAAAATACATTTATTACTGTGCCGCAAGTGACACTCAAACATATACGCAAATAAAAACTCATTACAACAACAATCATAAAAAAAAAAAATGTTTATCATCCATTGAAGAATACAGGATTTTGTAATTCATAGACAGGTTATTCTGCCACCTATAGGACACTGATAAACAAACAAAAAACATTAAGCCCCCTGTATAACCCCACCTCCAACCATCATGCCTCAGTATTCGAAGAGGTTGGATGGCTTTCCTGCAGCTCTGCTGACACGTGGTCAACTATACTTTATATTGTTTTATTCTTACTATTCTTATTACATTTTTTCTTAAATCAACATGTACACCTTGGATATTTTTTTGTTCAATGACCTTAGTCAAAACACTGCTTCAGCTAGACTCTACACAGCAGATTTCTGGATTGGCATGTCCTCAGTGATGGCTTTGGAGGTGGTACCCAGACCCCTCGGCACTGAAATTTTGTGGGGCTAGCCTAGGTGTGTCACTGGGTTCTGCATTGTGACGCTTTGCAGACCTGTGTGCACTGTTATTTAGCCACAGAGTGCTCTCCAGGTCCAGAGCCATGGTGTAGCCTCTGATGTGACCCAGTGTCTGAGGACTCCTACAGTGAGTAGGTCTCCAGACGTGGTGAGGCTACTCTGGAATGTAATCTTTGGGCACTGCAATGTAGTCTTTCTTAGACTTAGATTCAGATATCTCAGTGTTTTCCTGAAAAGACTATTTTCGCAATTCCCATGTTATTTGGAAAGACAAGAAATTCTTCATAATCTAATTGATGCAGTATGTTGTACCCTGCTGTTGGAGAATCAGCCATCTGTTCCAGGAATAGGGTCTCTTACGGATCCAAAGACCTTTCCAATACAATGTAAAACATTCCTCTATAAGGACTGGAAACAACTTATGGAGTCATGGCTCCCGTCTGAAAATGTTGAAGGAGCTTTTTCCCTTTAGAAGGGAATTTATTGAATAGTGGTCTCTGTCCACTGTAGACACTACTGTCATCCGCCTTAACAATCATAGTTCCAAACAGGTTCATGATGTTCTTGCCTTTGGGTATTTTACTGACTGAGAGAGGGACTCCCTATTTAGGTTCTAGTTTGAGGTATCTGGAGTGACTCTCTGTCCTCTGTTGCAGTGACTCAGCTTTGTGAATAGATGTTATTGTGGGTCACATCTTATAAAGAAGACCTCTCCCTCTCTAGCACAAACCGTTATGTCCTGGAGCTTTTTGAACAAATATCTGAAGCCCTGCAGTTAAGCTGTGATGGCCTCTTACAAGCATCTGTGCTTGTGCCTTTCCATATGCATAGGGTGCTTTGGCATCATTACCTTCACTATCTTGTCTTGTATTGTAACGGTAATGTCTGCTTTACTTGCCCTTTAAGGGTCTCTCTTGGTTTTGCTCTTGACAGTGACGTTCCTGATGCCTCTGGTACTCAGACTGTACACCTGCTTTAACGCAGGAGATCTTAGGATGGAACACAGAAACCCCATTTTGCATGTTCTCATGTTTGTTTAGGTATCCGCACTATGGGATCTTTGAATCCTACTATGGTTACACCCTACCATTGGGTATGTTTTAAAATTTAATTTTGCACTCCTTGTAGAGGAGTCCTTTTCCACCTTCGATGGGTATTTCCCTTTGAGGTCTTCATTATCTTTAACCTCATCCCTCTCCCGAGTGAATCCCTTGGTCTGCAAGTTTGACAGGGATCAATTGCTACTGCTCCTTTTACCTTGTAATGATTTGTTTTTTATTGTCCTCCAACTCTTTTAGACCTTTCACCATCACTTCGGCACACAGGGTGTCTGAACTGGTGGCATTGTCCTTCAAGCCTCCATATTTGCTGCTTCTTGAGGATAAGGTTGTCCTACCTCTGAAATGTTTTCTTGCTGAACGTGGAATCGGCTTATCATATGTGTCCCAATCTAGTCTACCCTAAAGAAACGGCCTTATATTTTTAGGATGTCAGGGCAATTGGGGTGTATTTGAATGCCATAGCCAGGTTTCCTAGGACATACTCCCTGTTTGGATCCAGCAAACCATTGTCCAAGTGTTTGCCATCAAACACAGTGAACTATCGATTTATTTTGTACTCAATGTAAAATCTTTTCTCTGCATTTATTGGAGGATACAGCACTAATTCCTATCTCCTGGTGCTGCCGCCTATATGGGTAAATTCTTTTGTTGTTTTAATTTGCCATGCTATGCCATGTAGCTGAGTTACCTACAGTTGTGGAGGTGACTCTGGCTACCAGTGGGGGCTGCCCCATATCTTTTATTTTAGTACACCCATCCTGCAGGTGGCCATGTACTCAGCTGGTTATTATCTGAAGCAGAGCTTTGTCCTTCAATAAATGCACAGAAAAGGATTTAACAAGAGTACAAAAACCTTCTAAATAAATAAACGCCTCTCTAAACTCAGTTGAAAATGATTTGTTGTCCAGTAATAATAGTCTGTTAAGAGCAGTAAATGAACATCTTCCTAAGGCTGGGTTCACACCTGGGCATACTATAGGCGCGTTTTTTCTGCCAGTTTTTTTAGCACGTTTTTTCGTTCAGTGAAACGCACGTTTTTATACCTCCCTGGCGGTATATATGGTATGATATTAATTTTTTTTCCCTTTTATTTTCTCTATCTTCGTTTCTTTTTTTTAACTTTCAAACTTCCCGCCGGTTCTGCCCCCCTGCGACGCGGACGCTCGCAAGGGAGGGAAGACGGCAGTGGCCGGAGGACACAGCGGGGATTGCGGACAAGGTAAGACCTACGCTGTGTACCCGAGTGTGGCTCGGGGTTAGCGCTTTGTTAACCCCGAGCCACACTCGCGAATAACAATGGATACGCGCTGAAATACGCTCCTGTACTTGTTTGGGTGTAGGGCGTTTTTCAGGGCGTTTCCACGGGCTGAAATACGCCCAGGTGGTAACCATGCCCATAGGAAAGTATGAGATTTCACTTGCTGAGCGTTTTTCAGCGCTTCGATCAGCGCTGAAAAATGCCCAGGTGTGAACCCAGCCTAAGTTTGGTTTAGGGAAGGGAAACTCTGGCTTCAGTAAAACAAAAAAGTGAATCCAAAACAGAGTAGGGCACAGAAAAGGCATTTTGGCTAATGTACATAAAAGTGGGCATCTTCTGGTGTCTACTGTTTTGTTGAACTTGTCCCTAAAACTGTAAACTGGAGTTTACTGATTCATTTTAAGTCAGTCTTTCTGCTACATACTAGCTTTAAAGAGACCTTGTTGTTAAAAAGGAAAAAAAAAAAGTGTAAGTCCTGAGCCGGCAGGAGGAACCAAAGAGCAAAGAGGGGAGCAGGCATTCGACACACCCAGGAGTGCGCCAGATGCTCCTAGATTTTTTAGCAAGTTTATCTCTTGAAAACATCAAGTATAGCATGCGAAAACAAAGGGGTAAAAATTAATGCTTTTTTGCAGGGACAACTTTTTTTTTTTTTTTAAATAGCAAGTCACTGAATTGCTTCTCATCTTCTTGAGAGTCTAAATAATAATGCCATTTGCCTTGCTGGTGCTATGAAAATTAATCACCACAGGGTAGAAGACGTGTAGCCAATTTGTTTCTAGTAATGCATGAACCAGTTTGCCCAAACCTGGGTTCACCACAAATAATGTACTCAGTGTGGACACCCACTATACGAACTTTTAAAGGGAAACTTTTGACTGCTCATCGGTTCCAATGAAGGCCACATTTAT